GATTTCAGAATATAAAGTTGGTAACATTTCTAGTTAAATCTTTTCATTTCTGTAAGTACTTGCAAGTAAAGGCTTCTTAGTTATTTTATTAGAGGCCCAGTGCACAAATTCGTGCACCAGTGGGGTCCCTCAGCCTGGCCTGTGGGGATTGGACTGAAACTGGCAGTCCGATATCCCCCGAGGGGTTCTGGAGTGCAAGAGGGCACTCTGCAAAGCTGCTGTTGCTCAGCAGCTCCAGCATTGAGCCTCTGTCCCCTGGTGGTCAGTGCATGTTATAGCTACCATCCAGTAGGCCAGGTCACTTAGGCTTTTGCAGGAATATTAATGGGGGCTGAGGTTGGGAGTTTCTGGCCTTGGAGGCATGATTTCCCATGTTAATATGTTTTATTTTGAAATCTTTGGAGTCTGAACAAATTTCTAGGGATACTGTATAGAAAGGAAATCATTATCTTCATCTGGTTAAGAGGCAGCTTATGGGTTGAGCTCCAAGGAGCTGTCACCTCCTGAGTCTCATTCAACCCTCTTACATTTCTTGGTTTCTTTCCCTGACAGTCTAATACAGCTACGAGGGCTCAAATGCTAGGTAACCAACCTATATGTGCATGGCCCAAGAAGAGTAAGGTATTTCATTACAGTTGGTTGGCATTTCCTATGTGGCTCCTGCACATTAGTTAGGGATATCCTCTGACACCTCCACAAAGCTTGTTAGTCACCTAGGAATACCTGAGATTTGGGCTGGAGGAAGTGCCCCTCATCTTCAGAGTTGAATGAGTTCAGGCTCTCATTTATGAGGTAAAATGTTTTGCTCAGGTTTTCAGAATGCAATTCCAAATGAAAAGCCAAACTAATTTTTTTCCTCCTGTTCTTAGTTATATCCACTCTAATCTTTAGCCTGGGTTCTCTCATTTAGCTCCACCTCAAGGATTTAAAAAAAGAGCTAAATAAAGTCATCATCCTTTTGCCTTAAAACAGGGAGGTCTGAAATCCCATCGGAAACTCGCCCAAGTTCACTTGATACAAAATGAGGAGTCCTCGGACCCCTGCTGGTACCTAGAATGGGTCCGGGTCTGCAAGATGGTCTTGGGTGCGCTTCTATGGAATCCTGTCACACTACACCAAGTAAATGTCGACATAAGAAAAATCCAAACCTGTATAATTTTTTTATGAGCTTATTTGAGTCAAACTGATGACAATTGCCAGGGAGCAAAATCTCAACAGACTGAGAAAATGCTCCAGAGAATGGCAGTTTTGCACCTCATTTTATACGTTACAATCAAAGGATAAGGCATAAGGAGGGTTACATGAAACCCACTGGTGATAGATTAGGGAGGTGGGATAAAGCAAAGTGGGGAAATCTCTGGGACTGCATAAAAAATAGACACATCTTTTACATTGGAGGGTATAGGATAATTAACAACACAACAATAGCAATGATCAGTTTTATGGTCTCTGCTCTGGTGTAAGGGGTTCTGAAAAAGTGAAGTTAAACTGACATTCCCAAAGTATGTTAGTTCATAGATACAAAAACATTAGACAGGCTCAGTTAAGGTAAAGACTGATCTTTGCAAAAGAAGATACATGCTTAGGGCATGACTACTCACCATGATTTGTTTAGTTAGGAAGTTTTCATTTCAGATAATCTTTTGTGGTTTCTTTCAGCCTTTGAGTTTGTAAGACAAGCCATGCAGGCCTCCCCTGTGCTTACCAGGTTTAGTATGGCCCCTTTTGCATCCATACCCCCTCCAAGTACCTAGTTCTTCACACACTGGAAATGGAAGTCCTAAATTCTGACCCATGGAGTTACTGGAAAGCAATGACGAAGTAGAGGCAGGAATACAGATGCTCTTCTGTTGGTGAAGCAATTTGAAAAGTGGGGAGTAGAAAGCTAGGGTGACTGTGTTTTGTGTTTGTGATGGCCTGGTGGCTTTACTGGGAAATGCTGCAGCTGCTACTAAGAGAGACCAGGATGGAAGTTACCGTATTTTTCGGACCATAAGACGCACTTTTTTCCCCCCAGAAGTGGGGGGAAAAAGTCCCTGCGTCTTATGGTCCAAATATAGCTTACACATATACTTAAAAAAAAAAAGTTTTTTTACTTGCCCGGCTCTAAAATGGTTCTAAATGCTGCTGTTTACTTTACAGGGTTGATTACATGTGTTTATGACTGTGATGTTGGGTTTTAATGCACATAAAATATTTTAGGACACTATTTGTTTCAGAATCTTTTTTTCTTCATTTCCCTTCTCTAAAAACTGGTGCGTCTTATGGTCCGGAGCGTCTAATGGTCTGAAAAATACGGTACTTCTTTTGCAATAACAGAAGTGTAAAAGGACAGTCAGGAGCTGGTTGTAGTGGCCCCACAATGTCATCAGGAATGTTACGCTAAATCGACTGCAATCACATGGATGCTTTAGTCAGAAAGTAGAAGGGGATTAAGCCCAAAAGGGGCACATGTCAGTGTGTTTCTCTTATGAAACTTGTGCCCACCTCCTTCTGGCAATCTGTAGCTCCAAGGGAGGCTGGGAGTCTGATCCTTTAGCTGGTCCTGTTGCTGCTTGAGTGGAACCAGATAATTCTGGATACTTGGTAGGCAAGTAGCAGTCTCTGCCACAGGTCTCAAACACTCTTACTGCCTAACGCTGTGCATCTAGGGAGAGAATGAAATCAAGATGATTTATTGGAACAAAGTCCTAAAGAATATGGGAGAGAAGAGGGTCAAACAGAAAGACAAGGATGGGCATGGGTTGGTGAGACCGAGAGTCAAGGGAAGTCCTCGTAGCACACAAGTGACAAGGTCTCCAGTGGAGTTGCTGAGTGGGGGGCAGTGTGCAGAGAGTAGAGGGCCTGCACCATCTGCTGTGTAAATGTGAATAGTATCAAGAATATGTGTTGAAAGCCACTTGTTAAAAGGCTGTATTTATGAGTTGTTACTGGTTTCCACTTTCATCAGGACATGCTTCTAAAGTAGGAAACACAATCACAACATTTTAGCGTATTACATTTGAAAAGCATTTTGTCCAAATTTGTGCTTATTATATAAGAAAACTGGATTGAAAGCTGAAGGTAACAGATGACAACGAAGTTAGGCACTGGTGACAGGGACACCCTCCTACACCAGCGGTTGCCAATGGGTGGTCCATGGATCACTGGTGGTCCATGAGGTCCAAAAGGTTGGTGACCGCTCTTCTTCACAGCCCTTTCACATTTCTCAGCAGGTACCTTTCCAGCCAGTACAACTTCTCTGAAGTGCTCCTGACACTCCAGAAACCACCGTGAGAGGGGCCTCTGCTGAAACAGCTGTCTGTACCCTTGACGAGTAAGAATGAAAACTTAGATTTGCAATGAAGAAAGTGTACTCCATCTACTAATATCCTTTTTCTCTTCCACAAATAAGGAAAGTCAGAAAAACCCCGCTGTATTTGACCATAGTCTTAGTGTGTTTCAGTTTTCCTCGAAGACAGGCTCTGGGTCCCATTCTTATGTTTTCCCTGGTCATGTTTCTGGAATAGATTAACTCAATGCTCAAGAGCCAAGTTGTATCATTTCTGTCACATCACAAATGCTCCAAATGAAACAGAAGTAAGTTAATGGTGAATATTATAGAAAAGTCTCCCATAATTATTAACCTGTAGCAATCTGCAGGTCAGGTTCTAAATCCCAATACTAATTTTAGGATAGAGATGCTTCTCTCTCTCTTTGTGGATGAGATTGGGAGCATTCAGTGGTGTGGCCACAGATGGTCTCTCTATCTTTTTGTATCAAGTTTGGTCAGCATGACTAAACAGCACCTGGGGCCTAGGGCCCTGGGGCCAGATGGGGCTCATGAGACAAATCCACAGGCAACTGAGCTTTAATTGACCACAAACTAAGTGTCTTCGTCTGGCCTGGAAGCAAGATTATGAGGCAGTTCACACACTCACATTGCTCCAAGTGGTACAGTAAACATTTAGAATTCCATCTGGTATAGGCACCACCACTGTGGACAATGCTCACCTGCCTGCCAATGTTCAGGTAGAGTTCTCTTTTCTACTGGGAGCTGCGCGAACTGCAGCCCTTAGATGCAGTGCTCAAGCCTTCACCTGGGTTCCTCCCACACACTTCATTTCACTGTCTGCTAACAACAGGAAACCCAAGAAAGCAGCTCTCCTTCAAGTGACAGGCCTGCCAAGCTTGTATCAACGAAAATTTCAGAAAAGATCCTTCAAGGTAAAACGTGACAGAGCGCTGGCTCTCATGTGCGTAGAAAAACCAATAATCACTAACACAGAGAATTCTGATGGATGAATCAAAGCTACTTGTCATTTGTTGAATTACAGCAGAAATAAATTTTACAGTATCATCGGAAGGAACTCTGTCCTCTCTGATTCATATTTTTAAGATTCAAACCAGCATTAAATGCTACATCATTCAACACAAATATTAGGGAACAATATTTTCCCTAATTATCCTATTAATGTTGATTTGTTAAGAAGTGATAAATTCTACAAGGATTTTTGGCAGAAAAATATCTTGATGTGTTTTTTTTTTTCTTTTTAAAAAAATATATTTTATCGATTTCTTACAGAGAGAAAGGGAGAGGGATAGAAAGTTAGAAACATCCATCGGTTGCCTCCTGCACACCCCCTACTGGGGATATTCCTGCAACCAAGGTACATGCCCTTGACTGGAATAGAACCTGGGACCTTTCAGTCCACAGGCCAACGCTCTATCCACTGAGCCAAACTGGTTTCAGCTTGGTGTATTTTTTTTATTAATTGACTGAGTTTCTGTTTATCTATGTGCATGCTTATATGTTTATTTAAAAAAAAATAAGGGAGCCTTTTGCAGTAATTGAAATTAGCTGACATCTCAACAGTTTGAGACAAAAAAATTATTTTAACTGGAAAAAATATTTAACCCAAGTGGCAGTAAATTGAGATCTTTCAGTTACTGCTTTAAGAATAGTTTGTTTTTATAAAAATCATTGCATATTCTCCCAAATAGAACACTAAAATGTTTTTCCTATCAATCATTCCTTTGTGCTATTACTCCCATTACTACCTTATAAAAGAATAAATATAAACATTAATGTAACTGTAAAGCTTAGTTTGCAGTTTTTTGGATGCAGAAGGCAGCTGATCAATGATTCTCTCTCATCACTAGTATTTCTATCTCTCTCTGTATATATTATTCACATTAAAAAAACTCCACATTCCTTTTTATGTAATGATATGTGAATAAATAGTGAATAGTTTTACAGCTTTCTTAAGCCACAAGTGAGGAAAACAAAGACATCTGCCATACCAACAGCTGGTTAATTTAAATGTTATTAATTTAAAAAAAATTCTAAGAAATCCAATTGGATTCCCAGCAATGATTATTCCTGAGAATTACGATATTTGAAACATAATTATAAAAGACTAAAAAACAAAGGATTCATCCTACTTTTTCCTTTAAAAAAAAAATCCGGATCATCTGTCCCATTAAGAGAGCTCAAGCCCGGCTGGTGTGGCTCAGTGGCTGAGCATCAACCCAGGAACCAAGAGGTCACCGGGCAGGGCAGGGCAGGGCAGTACCGCGGCACAGCTCAGTCATCATCAGAATCGCTGTCCCTGCTCATGGGGATGGAGCTGCGCACCGAGGACAGCAAGACGTCTTCAATTGGTTTCTTAGGGTTTTCCTCCAGGTCTGTCTTGATTGCTCCAGATTCAGACAATTTCCACTCCAACTCTAAGCAATAAAGAAAAAGAAAATCATCTAAGTCAGACTGCACAGGGCTCTCACCAAGTCAGGTTTTCTCTGCAGAAACTACAATCAACATTTGATGCCAATTTAATTTTAGTGCCATAATTACAAGAAACCTAGAATTAAAAGAAGAGACTACACCTATGTCTCCTAATGACTTCAGTTTTTCAGACTCCACAATTTCCCAGGGAAGAATCAGCATGAAGCATTTAAAGGCAATTCTTTTCACAGTCCTGCTGGCTATATGATCAAGTCCTATTTTAGTTAACAAATGGAAATTCTTCAGCCTCATGTCCAATATCTCCCATCTATTAGAGTCAAAGGCTAAATGGGTGATGACATTTTAAACTGATCATTTGTTTCAACTAATTAAAAAAAATACCACAAAATGAATGACTAATGCCTCAGTTACCGTATTTCACTCTCTGATAATCAGTGAGCCCTTATGAAGCAAAATCAGAGGGTCCAGGCAGAATTAAGGGACTGGAGGAGAAAGTCCACAACAGCCTGGTTTAAAGCAATGCTCTGCTAATGAGGTCCTGCCATTAAAGTCAGACAACCAATTTTACTGAAGTCATCGTACTGTAAAGTGCTCATGGAGATGAATAACACCAGTATTTTCAGTTTTCTCAGTTAAATGTTATAAAAATCCAAACAATTTCTTAAAAACACACACACAAAAACACACAAAACCCAAGCTTAAGATTTCTTATTCTTGACTAAAAAATACAGTAAATCCACACACACATTCATACATATATGCATGCTATTTGCCTTTACTCACTGGAATAACTAATGTAACATACTGATGTGTATGTTTGTATTTTTCCCAGTTGACTATCATATAGAGTTATATAAAGTAGTATGTAATCATATTTAAACATGTTTTTAAAGACTACTAAAGCATTGTTAGACAGAATATTTCAATAAAGAGATTTTGACCTAGCAGGAAACCCTCAGGCCTCAGTCTCTCTTTCACATTGTGTGTGTGTGTACTCAGCCCAGCCTGGGCCCTTTCGCAGTTCGGGAGGCCTTGAGGGGTATCTGACAGCTTAGGCCACATGTGTCAAACACAAGGCCCGCGGGCCAAATCCGTCCCGCCAGGCCTTGCAATGTGGCCCGCACCGCGCTGTCATCACTGCATTCCGCTGCATTTCCATCACAATGACAGTTTATGACTGTTCAGTAAACCATTCGGCCCGCGATTTAGGCTGGATTTTAGATTTTGGCCCCTTCTCTGATTGAGTTCGACACCCCTAGCTTAGGCCCACTCTCTGCAGACAGCCTTAGCGATGCCGCGGAGGTGGGAGAGGCTCCCACCACTGTCAGCCCAGCTTCTGGCTGAGCTGCGTTCCCCCTGTGGGAGCACTCTGATCACCAGTGGACAGCTCCTGTGTTGAGTGTCTGCCCCCTGGTGGTCAGTGCATGTCATAGTGACCAGTCCTGCTGTTCAGTCTATTTGCATATTACACTTTTATTATATAAGATTTGACACCTCATGTTTAACAGGCAGAAAGGAATAAAAAGACATTGGTTACAAGTTAAAAGGAAGAATTAAATGGACTTGATTTAATTTAAAAGTTACTAAGACATTCAATTGAGAAAATATTTCTATGGAGATGACTCACATATATATGTGTCATTAATATGAATATTAATGACACATACATAGTGACATGGTACATGGATTCGTGTACATTGAAAGGAAATTAATTAGAAGGTATCGGTGGGACGGGCTTGACAGGCCAGACATGCTCTGTAGTCAACGTCTCATAGTCTCTACCCCTATTGGTTCCTCCCCCTGCCAGCCACACCTGGGTGGCATCATGGCTCGAAGGGCATCTGTGGAATGAGTGGGGTGCCTCCAGTAGGTGGGTTCCCTCAGCCTGGCCTGTAGGGATTAGGCCAAAACTAGCTCTTCAACATCCCCGGAGGAGTCTCAGAGTGTGAGAGGGCACTCTGCAAAGTTGCTGTAGTACAGAGTGTGGAATGCAAACTCAAGTGTGCAGTGAACCAGATTTGGGGCCGACAGTGCCCCAGCAACAATATAACCCATGGCTGAAGGTGAAATCCGCAGCCCCAAGGAGGAATTGGGTTCCTTGCACTTTGGTTTCAAGGTGCGTCATCTGAGAACCACCACTGCCAAACTGCAGCTGGGCAGCTCCTGTGTTGAGCATCTGCCCCTGGTGGTCAGTGTGTTTCACTGCGACCGGTCAGACACTTAGCATATTACGCAATGTCCTAATACGTTCATGTGAATTAAACAAAAACGAATGATATGATCTTGAGCTATAATTTAAAACATTCAACTATAGAGACATAAAACATCAATATTAAATATATTTTAAAAGTCCACCATGTCCTCTTTTCACTGAGAATCATTAGAGCCCAGTTATTCTGCGTCACTAACTGGTCTCAGATGAGAGATTAAATATGCTTCTTCTCTTCTCTACCATGCACCGGCCATCTCAAAGAGACCCTTACCATCTATTGTCAGGTTCATGCCACCAAACACTAGAGGTCCAATAAATTGAGCCTTGATATCACCTTCAAGGTAAACAAATATTGTGGGCAGATTCCTATCAGGGTAATTGGGGATGCAGGTTGTTGAAATGGCTTTGATAAATTTGACGTCAGGAAACTTCCTGGCAAGTCCACTGAAGTGCTGGTTTATCAGGGAACAGAGGGGAATCCTATAAAACAGAAAGAGGAAATAATAGTGAGAGGAAAACCCTACAAAGTAAAAATAGAAGCAGTTATGATTCTGCATTTATACCGAACAAAGCTCAACTAGCCTTCCGTCCTAAGTAAAAACTCACGAGGACCTGCTACTCAAGATGAATTAACATTAAAAAAAAAAAAATTCTGTGGCTTAGTGTATGAGTGTTGACCTATGAATGAGGAGGTCACCTTCAATTCCCGGTCAGAGGGCATGCCCAGTTGCGGGCTTGATCCCCAGTGGGAGGCGTGCAGGAGGCAGCCGATCAATGATTCTCTCTCATCACTGATGTTTCTCTCTCTTTCCCTCTCCCTTCCTAATTGAAATCAATAAAAAAAAATTATATTTAAAAGAGCCACAAACCTTCTAATATGTTCAGGAAAAGTGAAGAACTCAAAATCCAAAGTTCAAATTAATATTCCGAAATGTAAGTCAGAAAAACAGCATCAATGTAAAAGATAATTGTTATGCCCCTCTCCATGACAGAATATTCAAGATTCAGAATGTGTGAAATGCGTCAGAAAGTACTTCCTGCTCTGAGGACAGACCTGGAGGTGAGAAACATGGAGGACCACTGTACCACTCATTGTGGACAATCATTACAAAGGCACCTGGCCACCTACAAGAGTGACTCATACATGGAATTACAAAAAGCCAGGGTTTCTCTAGAGCACATGTGTCAAACACAAGGCCCGCGGGCCAAATCCGTCCCGCCAGGCCTTGCAATGTGGCCCGCACCGCGCTGTCATCACTGCACTCCGCTGCGTTTCCATCACAATGACAGTTTATGACTGTTCAGTAAACCATTCGGCCCATGATTTAGGCTGGATTTTAGATTTTGGCCCCGTCTCTGATTGAGTTCGACACCCCTACTCTAGAGGAATAAATAACTTAGAAATTTATTTTCAATAAAAGTCTCTATTGTTACACCATAACAAAGGCATTTGTGTTAGTCACAAATATTAATTTGAAAATCTTAAGACAAAAATCAGGCATTAAGGTTTGGGCAAATCAGCCACAAAAAAATGTAAGATAAAACAACCTCCAATGTGGAATAAACCCAAGATGTTCAAGATATAAATTCAAATGAGCATTAAAGACAAAGCATAAGCTCACTCACCCTTGTTTGTAAAGGTGCAAGATCACCCACAAGCCCTCTCCGGCTTTGGTAACTTCCTGAACATAATCCTTTCCTGAGATCTCTAAAACTTCTCCAAATTTATTCCTCAGTTGAGCTGCTTTCAATTCAGCCAGTCTCTGCTGCCTGCACAACAAGGAGGAGTAAGTTATCTTACACACACTTACACACACACGCATGTGCATACACGTATATCTTTCACATAGCAACCTCCATAAAGGTCCAGGTTTCTTTGACACACGGCAAAAGTCCAAGACCTGTTTGCTGAAATATTATTATTTAATTATGGTCTTTTCCAAATGTGATTTCAGTCAAAAAATTCATTTTCAAATGACACACATTTTAGTGCCACACAAAAAAACAGTCCCTCCGGGTGGCACTAACCTGTACATTTCAATGGCTCGTTCATCTTCCTCATTAAATTCATCTTCATTATCCTCCAATTCTTCCAGAGTCATATCTTCATACGTTTTCACTGAATGTGATTAAGTTAGCAAAACCAAAAAAATTAAAGGACAAACATGCATTTTGTTTTTCCCCCCTTCACTTTTCTCCTAAAGATGTGCATACAACACCCAAGACCCCCAGCTCACCAAAACCAGGACGCAAAGTACTTTAGGCATTAACTAGTAAAAATAAGTTAGGATGTTTTAAAAAGAGAACTAGTGTGTTGGAATCTACAGGTTTGACTCTTTCCTACACACCATCGTAAGGACATGAATGAGAAGTTCCCCAAGGTTACAACTCAGCTGGCAGAACAAGCCCATACCCTGGTGGGTGGTGTATCACAGTCCTCCTGTCTCCCAGGAGATGGAAGGAGACCACGGGGTGTCCTCCCTCAGTGAGCACACCCTTCCTACAGTTACAGGGATATCACAGGCTCTGGGTATTTCCAGGCCGCTCTATCTTTTCTTTTAAGAAAATGCTATAACATTTGTATTTTGTTTTTATTGCCATAAACACTCTTTCTTTTTGCTTTCAAAGCGGGCTTTTGTCCCTGACACCCACTCATTCACAACAAAGAATTGCTTTTATCAAGGTCAACAATGATCTTCATTTCTTGACTGAGCAGCATGTGATTCAACCCATCACTGTCTCCTCTGTGAAAGACTGCCCTCTGCTGGCTTCCAGGACACCTACACTCTGCTCTCCTTTGGACTCTTTGCTGGTTGGATCCCTTTTCTTCTTTACCTATAGCCACTCTCTTGTTGATAGTATCTCATGGCTTGTAGTATGCTGACAACTCCCAAATTTATGCCTCCAGCCCATATTTTCTGATTTGGAGAAAAACATAGCCAACAGCCCACTTACCATCCCTATTTGTCTAATAAAAATTATCAAAGTTACTATGTCCAAAACAGACTTCCGGATCTCACCTCCAAATCTGCTCTCTCCAAGCTTTCCTCCTCTCAGTTGGGGTCACTTCATCCTTCTGGTGGCTCAAACCCAAAGCCTTATTTCATCCTAGACTTATTTCTCTCTCACCCCTCATAGGATCAATCCATCAGCAAATCCTGTTTAACCTACTTTCAAAATATATGCAGACCTGACCACTTCTCACGATTTCCTCTACCACCACCACCACCACCACCACCACCACCACCACCACACTGGTCCAAGCCAATGGTACCTCTTGCCTGAATTACTTCAGTAGTTAACAGACTAGTCTTATACGTCCTGCCTTTCCCACCACTGTTCATGCTCTGGAAGGCAGCCACAGGATGGTGCTGCCAACATGGAGGACACATGTCACCCCTTTGCTGAAACATAAAACTCCAATGACTTCTAACTCACTACATAAAATCAAGATCCTTACTAGAAGCTACAAGGTTCCAAGTTTGACCTCTAGTTACCTCTCCGAACTCCCTACTCCTCTCTCCTAATCATATTGGCTTCCTTGTAGATTCTCCAACATACGTTTCACTAAACTAGCTGTTTACCTCCCTCAGGTCTACCCAAATGTCATTCCCAGTGAGGTCCTCTCTGACCCTATCTAAAATTATACTCACCTCTTCTTCAACCCTTTAAAGGCCCTTTCACTGTCTTCTTTTCCTGTATTTCATTATGTATTGTTCATTGTCTCTCACTACAGTGTAAGTCCCACAGAACAGGGATTTCTGTCTGACCTGTGCACAGTGAAAGCCCCCGCCCAGAAAAACACACGTCACACAGTAATCGTTCAATAACCACTCGCTGGATACATGCTTTGTAGTAAGACCTTCTCTAAATTAGCTCTAATATGCAAATGGGATTCTGTGTCAGTAGTTCTCAGGCTCTAGAGTGAGTCAGAAAGCCTTTGAGGCACTTGGCTTAACACCACATTCTTGGGCCTCACCCCCGTCCTGAGATTCCCATTCAGTAGGAACTGAGTGTTTACAAGCGCCCCAAGGAGTCCAATGCTGGGAGTAGAGCTACCTTTCAGAAAATACCTCTCTCAGCTCCTATACATTGTAAACATCTTATGCTTCCCTAAATTAAGTTATTTAAATATTTTCAATCAAGGCACAAAGAGAATAAAGTATAAGCTCAGAATTATACAAACACTATAAACTTTGAGCAGATTTCCATAACATTATCCCAGGTGAATCGCAGATGAGAAAGTCAAGTTTAAGACTGTCATGTGCTCATCTGACACACACAAGGAACCATGGAAATGAAGGAAGCCTTGAAGTCCCCTAATTCTATGGCCCAGGAAGACAAAGGTAGAGACATGCTATGACTCGCTTGTAGTCCCACAGCATTAATTCTGGCACCTCAATCCCTGGCTCCCAATTCTTGCTTACAGGATCCTTTCACCAAAGCAGTCAGAGGCTTAGAAAGTTATTCTCTACCCAGGTAGACACAGAACGGAAAGTAATAAAAGCAGCTCACCAACTGACTGCTGAAGCACTCGCTGCTCTTCCTCTTCTGCCTCCTTTTCCAGTTCATTCAAATCTTCCTTTGCGGGCAAGATGCCCTTTTTGCGTAAGATGTCATTCCACTCAGTGTCTGCATTGGGGTCCTGGAACAGGGGGACCAAGGATACATATACAATGAGTGCAAAGTCCACTAAGGAGGGTGCCATGTTGGGCAAGGGGTCAAATGGGAAAGGAAAGGTGGTGGGAAGAAAAATTCAAATTATGTTTCTGAGAAAGTGTCAAAAGACTCAGAGGCCTATTCCTTTTTTCCTGGTTCTCCCCCCACGCCTCCAACCATCACTGAGGGGTATAGAACAGGATATGATGTGCAGATCAACATCAAAGCTGAAACCAAGGCTCTGACCTGACTTTTATCCAATATTCTTATTAATGACTTAGAGTGATTCATTCAACAAATATTTATTGAGCAAGTACTATATGTAAATTATTGGCAATAGTAGGAAAGAGTGGTGAATACCAGTGCTACCCATTTTACAGTCGAGAGAGACAGGCATCAAACAATTAAACGCACAATCACAGACTTATTACAAACTGTAGCAAGTGCAATGGCCAACAGGCTGCTGACCTAGAATTACGAGGGCCTGCATTCCACAGGATGGGTAAAGACGGTCCCTCAGAAGAGGTGACCTCTCACCATCTCTGGAGGGTGAGAAGGAATCGGACATGAGAACTTAGGAAATCACATTCCAGGAAGAGGGACCAGCATGTCCAAAGGGCCCAAGAGCAGCGATATTGAGCATCTACAAATCCTGTGGCTGCAGGAGAAGCACGAGGAGAGCCTGATGCTAGGCTGACAACTCTAACAGCCAAACCTGAGAGAAGAGCTGAGACCCACAGAATAGCTCACAATGGCTAACACCTGATGAGTGTTAGGCGCTGGATGCTTTTCTACGCCCTTTAGTTGTATCTGCTTAATTCATCTTCACAAGCCTTGGAGACACAGCATTTAGGAAGCCATTGCCATGCTGGTACCAGTCCAATTTGCCAGGCAAATGTCAGAAAGATAAATGTCAAAGTGGGCTTTTAGCTCCAGAACCCAACTGTTCAAACACGGGCTTTGCACAGCTTGGCAGGGACACTGCTAATGGGTCTGGTTTGAAATGTGTAATCAAGGAGCGCGGTGGAAAGGACACTGGGATAACCAGGCCCACTCCACTTCGTGGTTTAGCTGAGATACAGCAAAAGAAAAATGAACAGAATCCTTTCAAATGGGTGGTCAGGGAAGGCCTCTGAAGAGGTGACATTTTTAAGGAGGGGCCTGAAGGATAAAGAATGCAAAGGAGCCAGGGAGCCTGGAGCTTCCTCACCAACATGTAAGAGTGTCTGGCTTGTGGCAGACACGCTGTGTTTGTAGAGGATCATCCGCTCCAGCCTCAATACCTCCAGTGCTCACCAAACCCACATGAACTTCATTCCCATTTCCCACTGAGCCAGAAACCTTTTCATCAGAATTCCTGCCCACAGCGAGGTCTGGAAGGCAGCAGAATGACCTTCGGGGAGTGTCCTTGATGACTTAGTTTTACAGATTTTTGCTCATAAAAGCATCCATTTTCACTGTGTTTTCAGTCATTTTCTTTTCCTTTCCTTTGGATTTTAGTCAAATTCCAGAGACAATAAGAGGACAATACAAGGGGGTTTTGTTTGAAGACGGAAAGTGAGCATAGGGGCTCTTTGGGCCAAGTTCTGAAAGCCAGGAGAGCCCCTTCAACCTGAACATCATCGCTAGGGATAAGAATGTAACGAACGAGGGCCCTCCCCAATCTCTAAGTGGAATCAGGAACAGGGGTTCCACCACTGCTTCATTTTATGGGGGACCCCCCCCCACCCCCCAGGAGGGACCCTTCACTTCTCCAAGCCTCAGTTTCCCGATCGGTGCAAAGGGTCCATAACACACCTGCTCAGGTGCTCAGTAAGGGAGTTAACAGGTAAGAAGTAACTGCCAGGTGGGATACGACCTCAAAGAGGGGTAGCCCCAAAGAGCGGAGATTTGGGGGTGGGATACACTCGGGTGGAGATGCCCCGCCGGCAGGAACACACCCGCCCTCCGCACTGCGCCTGCGCGGGACCAGACTGGCCAGCGTCCCCCGCGCCAGCGGCCTGTGGCGCTCCCCGTGGGCCCGGACGGACAGGCCGCCGTCGGCGCGGACCTAGCGGGGTACACGAGCAACCGCAGCCCCCAGGCCTCGCACCCCCGGCCTTGCTCACCTGCATCTTGTCTCAAATATCTTAAGCCAGGCCGACCACCTCGCCCGATCCCTCAGTTCTCTCCTGCGCATGCGCGCAGCTGCCTCCCGGCCTCCCCTCCCAGCTCAGCTTTCGCCCCGCCCACCGGAGTGAGCTGCGGCGCCTGGGAGGAAGCGAGGCCTCTGAGTCTGCGCACGCTCCTCAAACCGGCGTAGAAGCTGTGCGCACGCGCGAGGCAGGAGTCGCAGGAGACGTCTACCTTCTGGCTGCGCTGCAAGTCACGTGACCCGGAGCCAACCCTGAGCGCTACCTTATTAGGGCTGGTCTTCGGCCTTGGAACTTTGGGCTGGGTGGAGGAGATTCCAGCTCTAGACCTGAATGTGCAAAAGAAGTCTAAACTAAGCTCTAGAAGTCAGAAATAGAAATGTTTCCCTGATGCAGTGTTATAATAAAAAATGATACAGTCACCTGGAGTTAAAACTATAATTTCAGCGTCGGATAAGGCAATTCATTTGTAAGACATTTATTGAGAGCCTACTTTGTACCAGGTACTAATTTAGGCTCTACAAATTCAGCAGTGATCAAACAGACAAAACCAGAAAGGCAATCCATATTTGCACAAATGTTTAGCCTTATATGGGCACACTGGAGGCACTGAGTAAAAATCAGTCTGAATTGTAAAGTGCGGGTGCTAGGCCCCAGAATTCTGCCTATGAAAGTCCTACAAATTTGAGTTAAAGAATCAATATTCCTCCTTGGACACTTGGGCTGGTGTTAACCGACTTTGAGATTTGCTCTTCCCCCCTGGGCAGAACCTAAGCCATGGAGGCTCTGACCAGAGCTGGCGGGAGGGTGAGGAGCTCACTCTTGACTGACTACCCCACCTGGATTCTCTTTATTGACCAGGAGCTGTGTGTGTGCTGGTGCTGAGGCAAGGTAGGGGAGGGAGTGATCCCATATCGGGGGATCATACCACTCCTAAGTATGTCCCCAGTATGAATCTTCTGTGGCACAGATCCAAAGAGGATGAGATTTGAAATTCACTGGTTGCCATCTTCATCCCTAGGAAGCTGGGGAAGATGGAAGCTGTCATTCATCTGTTGAGCCCATGAGGACTTCTCCACTGAGCTATTGTGGAAAGGAAGGTTTTATTCTTCAACTAGTGGCCCAGTGCACAAAATTCGTGCATAGTGGGGAGTGTCCCTCAGCCCAGCCTGCACCCTCTCCAACCTGGGATCCCTCTCACAATCTGGGACCACTGGCTCTTAACCGCTCATCTGCCTGCCCGCCTGATTACTCCTAACCACTCTGCCTGCCAGCCTGATCACCCCAACTGCCTCTCCTGCCAACCTGATCACTCCCAACTGCCCCCGCCCCAGCTGGCCTGCTCACTCCCAACTGCTCCCTTGGCCTGATTGCCCCTAACTGCCTCTGCCTCAGCCCTGCCACCATAGCTTTGTCTGGAAGGTCTCCTGGTCTAATTAGCATATTACTCTTTTATTAGTATAGATGGTTGCTGAGCTCACTGGAACAGTTAGTTCTTCAACAAGGCAGAGCTGTGGGGAGATGGATGCAGTCTCTAGCTTCAATGCCATGGATTTCCACTGTTCTAACTAAGTTTCCATAGATTTTGTTGAACTGATGTTTTTCAACTATGTTTAAATCTTTTGATCAATCTTTAAAGATTTTGAATGGTTGTCTTTATTAATCTCCACCAGTTTAATGATTTCTCTGAGCACCTCATGCTACCATTCTGGAGGTCCTACCTGGGGTAATTTGTTACATACCAACAGATAAACGAATATAATAGCCAAGCAAGGTTGGATAACTGAAATTAAGACAAACAACTAGTTAAATGGAGAGCAGGGAAGGCATTTCAAGCAGGAGAAACAGAAGGTGGAAAGGTATGGAAGGTGGAAGCAACGAGGAAAAGCTGAGATAGAGATGTAAAATATGGTCCTTGCATCGGCATCATCAGTATCAGAACTTGCTGACATTGTGAATTCTTAGGCACCTACTACAGACCTATTGAATCAGAATCTCTAGGGATAGAGAACTGCAGCCTGGGTTTCAGCAAGTCCTACAGGTTTTTCTGAAGCACAGTAACGTTTGAGAACTACTGGAATATGAGTTGTCTCTCATCAGCTATAATAGCTGGGCTCTTAATGTGTCCAAATTCTCAATGATTTTCCTTTTTTTTTTTTTTTTTTTTTTTTTTTTTTTAAGAAATGAGAGAAGAGGAGCTAGTAAGTTCTTCCTCTTAGTGAATGCTTTAGGGCCTTAGCAGAGAAAACAGTTCCCTAATACCAGTCACATGAAGCTGACCATGCCACAGCAAGCAGATGCTCACCCCACTTCTGATGGGAATAAACCACCTCTGACTTTAGTTTGTATTTTATTTGGTTCTAATTGTTTTAATGAACCTTCCTAAAGTTGTCCTACACATGCCACCTTAGTCTTTGCAGGATTATTTGATTTGCTTCTGTGTGTGGTTGATGGTCATAGCTGTAGAGGGAAATGTGGACATTAGGTTTAGTAAGATGTAAAAGGGAATATTTAAACTTGGCTAAATCCAGTTAACAGAAAGAGCTAAAACTTGTTTGGGACTGAAAGAGTGAAAATAAGTGTGTATTGAAAAAACAAAACAAAAGCAGTCCTGCTGATACCCAGGCTGGGAGGACAGATTCAGATAAAGCCAAAAGCGGAGTTTACAGAGAACAGCCTTCTCTCAAGCTGTGAAACGTCATAACAATGCCCACTTCGAATGACCTCTGCTTTCTTACCAACGATGCCCTGACATGCTTTAGCTCACCCATCTTTTACTAGGGATTCCCAAATGCTGAGCCATTCTTGCTCATTATGCCTTCCAAGCTCTAGTTAGTCCCCACTTCTCATAATTCTGCCTTGGCAACTGCAACTAGTACAGCATTGATCCCCACTTCCTTTGGACTTTCCTGGATCCTTCAGCAGGAGCTTGACTTACAAGTCTCCTCATTTACTGAGAAGCACCCCATGGCTCTTCTGGAGTGCCTCCCTCATGGCATCAGGTCAATAAATCTGATTCTGTCAGATTTCAGGCTTGTCCTTGTGATTTTGGCCTGATTAAGCTTAAATAGAAAAAATATGGTCCTTGACCTGTATTTTGGGGAGAAAGATGGTAGTGTTTGTTTGCTTGTATTTGACTTGATTACCAATTTTAGATCCCAGGTCACAGAAAGGAACCCAGAGGACTGACCACCATGAAATTGTCAATGATTACTTCTTATCACATGTCAAATCAGTCTCTTCTGCCTCCCCATGGTCATTAGATGTTTTCTTGTAAAAGACCCACACAGAGATCTAACATTATCACTCATGAATCAAGCATGACAACCTTTCATTTAACAGAATTACAATCTCTGAAGTTATTAACAACTAGAGGCCCAATGCATGAAAATTCATGCAAGAATGGGCCTTTTTTACCCCCGGCTGCTGGCACTGGCTTCCTTTCAACACCCCAGACCCAGGCTGCTTCCCTCCTCTGGTTACCCACAGGCACCCAGGATCTGGGATGGCTTCCCTCAGGCCACCCACAGGCACCTGGAACCTGGGCTGGCTTTTCTCCGGCCCTGGCTTTGTTAGGAAAGACATCCAGAATGACACCTGGAAGATGTCTGGTCTAATTAGCATATTGCCCTTTTATTATTATAGATACAAGCATCCTCCACCTAAGGAACTTGCAGTGAGGTTGGGGAGAGAACAAGTGGGCAGCCAGAGTGAAGAGATGAAAAGCTTTGTCAATGAGGAGGTCAAGAACTCCAAGCCCAGAGTATCAGACAGATGTCCACAGGGACTTCGATGCCAACCTGAATGACACAAGACATGAGGTGGACAGGAGGGCCATGAACAAATTATCAAAACCCTCGAGGGACAAGGAGGTTCAGCCAGGATGTCTGTAGATGACAGCACCGAGGAAGAGTAGGATGACTTAGCCAGACAAAAGGAGCCATCAAGAAATGTAGAGTTTTAGGGGAGGGTGGAGGACAATTGGCCTGGAATATTTAAGGCAGTGAGGAGAGTCTCTCTTCAAGGTGTCCTGGAACACTTGGTGTGCTAACCATGAGCAGCCTCTCCCAACTCCACCCCTTAGCACACCACAGCATTAGCACTTTGCTGAAGGATCCCTTTCTCTTCCTCAACATTGAATTCTGTTAGTCATGGTTGCCCTCCAAGAACTCTTCTCCTCTTCTAAATCTAAGGCAGCAGACTGTGGTGAGATAGGACCACCCAGGTATGAACTATGAATTACCTCTCAAGTGTGGTCTTGTTGATTTCTCCCCAAGGGAGGGAAGCGATGTTTTTCATTTCCAGGTACAGGACTTAAAACATTATGCTGGAGCACAGATTAGGGGCAACCCAGATTTAATAATGTGGGGTACAGTGAGGCAATGATTTTCAGGATCCTTTCCTTCTGAACAGTTCAAACAATAGAGGTACTCAACTGGCCTGGGTCATTCGCATCGAGACTCCAAGTAATACAAGTCCCATTACCAAATGTGTCTGTTTTCTTGCTGAGTGGGAAGGGACCTTATCCCCTGATAAAAAGATGCATTTTGCAATGTTGTCCATTGCTTAAGTGACAATCAAGGGTAAAATTAATCTCCTGTGGCTTTTCTTCCCACAAATCAGGCGTCTTCAAACTACGGCCCGCGGGCCACATGCGGCCCTCAGAGGAGTCTGATCCGGCCCGCCAGGTTTTTTGGGCAGTGAGCGCAGCCGAGGTGTTACAGTAGGAATTAGTAGTTCATATAGTCCGGCCCTCCAGCTCTCTGAGGGACCGTGATCTGGCCCCCACTTTAAAAAGTTTGAGGACCCCTGCCACAAATGATCCTTGCTCTTCTTTACCTAGTTCAGGTCACTGTGAGTTTTCCCCAGAGAATAGTGATAAATGGTAGCTCTTCCCTTGGCCACATTTTCTTCTGAGTCTGTGCCATGACCTTCATGGCTAGGTTCAAGATCTGAAGGAGAGGCCGATGCACAAATGAAAATGCTATACAAGAAATACGAATTTAGAAGGCATTGGGGGTCAAGTGGAGCCTCTTTCTTGAAGAGACACACTCACCTTTGGCCTGGTCTGCTTTTTATTTACTTGAATACACATTTTTCCTTTAGCAATGCATACAGGCAGATCAAAGG